TCGACGTTTTATTATTAAAGACCGAATGTTTCATTCATTGATGTATAATAAACGTGGTAAATCTGTAAGTTACTTTATACAATATTCATTTGATCAACGTCATTATTACTTTGGAACAATTGAATATTTTTTCTTTCTACTATCGAAAGAAAAATCATATGCTGTTGTTAATTTATATCCTGTCAAGCAAAACTATAGTGATTATTTTCGTCTATCGAAATATTATCATTTATTGAAGAAACCTTTAGATAGTTTCTTTTTTGTTTTAGAAAATCATCCTTGTAAAAAAACTATCTTACTAACTGATTTCATATTGAAACATTGTATTGTATTTGACATGAACGAATATATTCTTGTTACACCTGTTTAGGCATATAATGAACATGATTGATTTCCTTGACAATTCATTTAAACCATCTTTCTGTTTCAGATAAAAATTCAAGTATATCATTTAATATAATCAACTAAAATGTTTTCTGATCGAAGCCAACGAGAAAAAAAATCAAAAAAAAAAATTTTCTCCGTCGGATCCATTACAAGCGTATTATTATTTAATTTCTCATGATGATCCGAAAAAATATCGAGTTATTGGTCGTTCAAGCGTTCAGAAGATAACCAATGATAAAGCCGTCGTTACCAACATTGCTGGTGATGTACGGATCCTGAAATCAGGTGAGATTTTATTGATATCAAGATGATTAGAATCTTGTGATACGAGAAGTATTTTGTGAAATATTTTAGGTACTTTAGATTATTGTCGAAAAGAATTAAAGTTGAAGGTGCAGGAAATGGAAGAACAAAACGAAGACAAAGCAATAGATGGTAATAAATTTTACATTTCCCTCAGATCTTTTAACATTTATTTAAGAACAAGATGAAGACGACGATGATGACAATGAAATAAGTGAAGATGAAGATAATGACGACGACTGGTATATTGGTCAATCATCAACTAGTTGTTTAAAAAGACCTAGTGATGGACTTAGCACTCGTAATAGATGTTATTATCAACTTGAGAGATTGTTACAACGCTTCTTTTTTTTATATAGCTGCTTTGAAACGTTCATATAATAAAGCCAAGACAACATCCCAATCAAATCAACGTTTTAATCGTGGTATGTCTTTTTTAATTTGATCTTTTCATTTTCACTCTTTTTTCTACATTTTTTGTTTGGTACAGATCGCTCCTTACAAAGGAATGGTAGATGCCAATCCAAAGTTACCGTTTCTCATGATCTTCCTGCTAAAAATAATTCAAATAATAATCATCCAGATAAAATTACTGGTATCAATGAATTTTTTTTCGATTGTTTGTATGTGTCTTATGTTAAAATATAATATGATAGGTAATGTTTCAGGGTTCACCAGCTCTTCACAAGATGATCATCGCCATATTGATACAAATACTGGTAAAACTCATTCAAGTTTTGTTGCATCGCAGGTTTTTCCAATGTCGATTTCTTTTTTTTAAATTTAGAATCTAAGTTTAAACAAGAGATGATCAGTGGTATAAGATCATTAAAAAAAACAGTTTCAAAATTGACTAAAACTGTTGAATATTTAACGATTCCATCATTACCGGTGTGTAATTTTTTTCCTGGTTGATTTAGTAGTTTTTTTCTACTAAGCAATCTTTTCATCTTTAGAAAAATGATCAATTGTCATCCTATCGTGATGAGAATGACAAAGAAAATTTTCAAGATGAAATTGTAAGCATACTTAATAATCAATTTTTTTGTTTCATCTTACAATGGAACCTTTTGTATTGTTCATCGAGTTAATCGACCGCATTCGGATCAAATTATTACTCTCACCGCCAAACGAACAAATTTTAAATCTTACGTGTCCATAGCGAGTCAGGACCGAGATAATCAATTTTTAAGATATTGACAATTTTGGTAGGTAAACATAGTATTACGAAAAATATTCACATCCAATGTTTTACATAGTCACTTGGTTTTTAAAGGATATTTTTTTAATCTTGTCGGAATGTATCGATGATATTAGAATCACACTAGATCTGCCATCTTTTGCAAGTTTACTAATGGCAAAGTACAAAAGGATATGCATATTATATTTCAAACTTGACATTATATGAATATCTAAAGATTAAGTGCATTGATGCATAACTTTATGATTTACTAAGTTGTTTTTATGATTGGTTAACCGAAGTCATAGTTAAGTGTGCATTTAAAATAAAACACTCTCTTCCATTTTCAATATCACCATTATCATTTAAGAGAGATCTAACTGACCGAATTAAACATAAATGAATCTGATTAACATCGCGAAGCATCTTCTTTATCTAACGGAAAGAGAATTTTCTGATGATGATTCAAAAACAAGTGCTGATGAAATTGCTGCATCGCAGCAATTATTTGATGTTTTAAAATCATTTAAAGACAGCTATTTTAATGAACTCAATGTGTACGAAACTCTCGACTTTGATGATGAATATGATGAAATAGCGGAAGAAGAAGAAAGTACTGATGAAGAAGATGAAAGCATCGATGACATGGATGATTTTGAGGAAAATCAACAAATGCATATTTATAATCAATTTACATTGGAAGAAATGGAAGATATAATCGAATGGGTTGATCAACATCCAAATTATAAGTTTACGACTATTAAACATAGATTTCAAAAAGTCAAATTCCCCAATTATATATCAAGATTTCGAGAATATATTAAAGAGAATGGCACAAGACTTGAAAAACTCGATAAAATCAAGCAGTTTATGTGGGATGAATTTTATATCAAGAGAGCTATTGAAAAAGAAGCTGTTCATGATACTGATTTAGAACGTTTTGCAATTTAAAAAGCAAAAGAATTAAATTGGGATAATTTTCAAGTCAGTGAATCTTTTATTACAACGTTCAAGAAAGAAAATAAAATTTCATCAAGAGGATACAATAAACTTATCACTCGTGTGTCTTCAACCAGAAATGCTTGCAGTTTAGAAGGTATGTGAATATATCCGAAATTACTATATAATTCTCTTTATGTAAACAATGTCTGTTTTTTAGATGCTCAAACCTGGATCAAAAATCAAAAATCTTTGATTTCGAAATATTCGCCTAATCAAATTTTAAACAGCGATCATTGTTCATTCCAGAAAAAATATATTTCTCCAAGAACTCTTTCTTTCACTGGTGAAAGAACAACCGAAGTCACTGTTAAAAAGAAGAATAATGTAACACACTCTTATACGATGTAGCCTATTACATCAGCTGATGGTCAATTATTAGACAAATTTTTACTTATTCTTCAAGAAACAGAGAATGAATTCGGTAAAAGAGTAGAAAGAGATTTAATCGTACCACCAAATGTTGTAGTGCGAGCTTCAAAGTCTGGTAAAAGTAGTGATGAAAAACATCGGACGTTTTTGAATGAAGTTCTACGTCCGTTGGTTGGTCGAAAATTTCTTCTTTTCCTTGATTGTTGGACAACTCAAACTGATCTAAAAAAATTTAGAGCAGTATTTCCACATCAAGACAGTCAGTTATTAGTTTTTCCTGAAGGATCAACTGGTCATATTCAACCTCAAGATTTATCTTTATTTCGTTCCTGGCGATACTTTCGCAAGAAAATCGAGCATTACGTTCATATCAATCGAACAGAAATGAACTTGAATGATCGTCAATATTTCATAAATATGCATTCCATCATCCACAATCAACTATCTGCTCCACCATTTAAAAATCTCATCAAGTCTGGATTTATACAAGCCAAGATATTGAACGAAATAGTTGGTGAAATCAACAAACCAAAGGATGTTTGCTTTAAATTCTATGATCTTTATTGTTCAGCTATTCGTTGTGAAGAGCGAACTCTTCTAACTTGTGCTTGGTGCAAAAGACACCTTTGTTATTATCATTTGATTGAAGATCTACATCTTCATTTGTGATAGTCTATTTTTTTTATGTGAAATAAAATCATAAACTGATAATCTATAAATTATTATAGGAAATTGCCCACTTCTCTCTTACTTTTGTATTAGTAAACTTGCAAAAGCTGGCAGATCTAGTGTGATTCTAATATCATCGATACATTCCGACAAGATTAAAAAAATATCCTTTAAAAACCAAGTAATTATGTAAAACATTGGATGTGAATATTTTTCGTAATATTATGTTTACCTACCAAAATTGTCAATATCTTAAAAATTGATTATCTCGGTCCAGACTCGCTATGGGTACGTAAGATTTAAAATTTGTTAGATTGACGGTGAGAGTAATAATTTGATCCGAATGCGGTCGATTAACTCGATGAACAATACAAGAGGTTCCATTGTTAGGAAGGGACGGATTTCAGCTGTTAGTGTGTCTGTGTCCTTTGTTAGCAATACTTTCTCTCGCGAAATATTTCCGAGATTCAACCTGCGACACTATAACTCACAACACATATATGCGACACATTTTAACTAAGAGTGCAGGAAATTCTATAAATGACACGAAACATATACTGCGTGTTTTTAGCTAATAGCACCATTAATAATGATAATAATAATGACGACCACTATTATACAAATAATAACGATAATGATAATCATACTACAAATAGTGGTGGATGTGAGTCATGGATATATAAAAACGTGCACACAGAACTATTAGGAACCTTGCAGGCAGATATCACTAGGGTTCGACGTACAAATCTTGAGAAGCATGGCACCCATCTTTCCGTTTAAGATTTCTCAAGGAATTAACAGGAAAAAGAATAGGATTGTCAACTATGATCAGCATCAACTTACCAAATACTAACCATTATGAAGTAGTGAAATGTTAATCGACCCGCATTATCTATTTCGTTGGATTCAATGTGACTAAAGTATATATTCATGATCACATCATATCAGAATATTGTTGAATAGCTTGGTCATTTAAATACTTTTGAACTAAAGCTCGTCCATTTGACCCAATGTATTTTGCTTTTCTGTCGTTTTTTGCTATCTCTCGCGTGAGGTTATAAAATGAAAGTTCACTACCTTTTGCCTTAAATTCAATAATATTAAAGTCATGTTTTAGTAAATGGTACCAATATTCCTGCCATCCGTAAAAATTCGTGTAAATGACTGGAGAACCACAAAGTAATAAATATTTAAGTCTGCTTGAATAAGACCAATCTTCTTGATGGAGTAAATATTTATATTCGGAATATTGATATATTGTTTTGAAATTATCAGAATAAAAACGGCTGCGATTACCAGGATTCCAATCAATAAATTCAATATCTAATAAAGAATCATTCCTTCTTTCACCAATTTCTGTTAGCCACTGACGTTCACCAGTGCGAGCACCACGCCACATTACTTTTTTCATGCGTTCCTCCCACACAACTTTGTCAGCCTTTTTCGGCAACGTTTCCAAAACTTTCCGCCACCTACCGATGAATGGTGCTGTAAATACCCACAATGTAAAACAGGGAATGAGAATAATTCCATCCGGATGCAAACCCTATGTCGGTTTATAGTTCGTTTTTGCAAATCCAAAGACAGGTACTTTGTGTCACATTTATTGAGCTCCGCTGATTTCAAATTTACTGCATCTTCTAAAACGATCTCTATTTTCTCGTAAGACGAGACATACAGGTTTAAAGAAAAATGGAGATATTTTGTCTCTGGAAAAGCTTCGAATTTGATAGTGTTTAAATATTCCCCACAGACATTATACATGTATGTGAGTACCAAATCGCTCAACCAGCTGCTTCTTTTAGTAGGTATGCACGGAACTCTAGGGATTATGTATTTAACATATTTTTGGATTAGGGGGTTTAGTGAGTTTTGGGTAATATTTGCATGCCTAGCAAAGTGAGTGGATTTTTCAAAGTAAAAGTCAGTTTTCTATCTGAGGAACGACTTTTCTAAAAACAAAGGATATAGTTTTGTCCTTTTCTATGTAAAAGAAGGATTTTCAAGTAGTCTTTTCACACAGAAGGGGGTTGTTCGATGGCAATTCATCGTAGCCAGTCCTATATAGTAGTTTATTGGACGTTGAAACAACACGGATTCGGTAAATCTTAATTCGTCTGAATACTGGCATTAAAATGATAATCTTTAAATAATGAAAAAATTTTAATTTAAAAAGCATTTAAGCGCAGTGTCTCAGAGTTCAAGTCTGGAACTCACTTATATCCTTTAGACACACTAAGCTAATTCAAAATAGCTTAGGTGAAAAATGCTTCGTAAAAATGTAACTTATTCTTAAGATCTACAGTTAGGCTATTACAAAGTCACTTATATCTGTGTCGAATCGATGACTTTCTTTGGAATAATCTGTAATAAAAAGAGGTAGAAATAACAACTTTAATATTTCAGTCTCTATTCGATAAGATTACGAACTCTCCGTTATATGTGATGTGGATGGATTGAAGCCCTAAAACTCTAACTTTTAAATTACAACTAAGTTTTGTTCTAGAGTATATGGAAGTCGCACACGATGATGTCGACACACTGCTACTGAGATGATCTTGTCATTAAAAACTAATATGCACTTTTTCTTAGAGATTCATAAATCAAAGCGAAGATTTCACCGAAAAGTGACTTGTTATGTACAATCATAGTAGTAAACAAATAGCTTCAAGGAAAAAAGTGTCGTATGGCACCATAGAAAATTTGGTCAGGAACCTTGAATTTTTGTTAGGGTTTCACTCAGCTACTACTAAATTACTAGAGGCTCTGGATAATTCGTAGAATCAATTCATACGAAAGATAGTTAAAGTATGTAGGATAATTTCATATCACACCATTTTTTTTCATGCTGAACTCTCCCCAAAGATGGTCCGAGCACGATTGGTTTGAGCTATTTTGAAAAAGTATGTATCACAGACAAAAAAACTAGAGCTCGTTTGAGTTTTCTCACTATTTCATGACATCTTTGGAATATCATTCAAATCAATGAAATACCAGCAAAATTTTATTAGTTTCATGTGCTGCATATCAATATCGCGCAATGTTTCACAACAATCAGATCTTTGTGGAGAAATTCTGAAAAAGCCTTGTGCTGAGAGATTTTGTTACAATCTTCTTCTTTATTTCGCCTTCTTCGTATTATTATATTTTCACCAGAAATAATCTCCCTTCTTTAAACATTAACACTCACTTAAATAGAATAGATAAGAGAAGAAGAATGGAATGATTGTAAACGTGAGAGAATGAAACAGAGAGAAGAAGAGAGAACATACTTATGACAGGACAGATATGTCCTGACATAACAGATTTCTTACTAAGCTACTCGATTTTCTGTATTTGATAAGAGAAATATGCTTCACAAGCAAAAAACACAAACAACTTAAATAATTTCACTATTAAACTATTGAACCTTTTGCTTGCCATCAATTTAGCGTACTTCATTTCTACAGTTAGCGCGGATTAATGCGAGCGACTATTATATACAATGTAGAAGACATCTAGCGTATCGTCATCAACATTCGCACTCAATTTTGTTGGATTTCGTAGCTTTTTTTATCAAAGAAAAAGAACTTCCGAAAACTAAATAGTTGTTCATTGGGGGTGGAGCATTCACAACAATATTAAATGTTTAAATGATTAGCATAAAGAGTATACAGATACAATTTTATTTTTATTTTTTTATCAAAAAAAAACTTCTTCAAGAAATATTAAGAGTAATCCCTGTATGCTTTCAAAATCTCACTGGAGCTAGTCGTGGCAACTCTTTAAGAGAGCATTCATGAGATCAGAGAGAGAATGAAACACACGCCAATATTTAGATTTTTATTGTGATATATTCATTTGAGTTAACAGAATGAATGAAAGTGTCCGGTAGGATCCTGTCGGGATTCAAATTAGATGCCGTAAAACCAATTGGTTTTCCGATGCGGTCCACCTATCGGAACTGGCAACCGAAAAAAATCTTGCATCACTAAACCTAAATTTAAGTTTCCTGGAACCTTGCACAGTAAAGTTAGCTGGGGCCGAATCTTGGCACCATCTACGTACTGTCAACAGAAATGCTGTTGTGCTATCTGATCAGTGCTTCGAAGATTATAGAACTTGAAAAGGGAATTTTTTTTAATATCACATACCAAATTATCGACACCGAATAGATGAAAAAAATCAGGTATTTGAAATAACGCGTGAATCAGAATAAATGGCCCTCTTAGGATTTTCTAGATATCTTTTTTAATTTCTATTCTCTCAACTTCAACTTTTATCGAATAGATTTCACATTCAATTCTCTACAAAATAGGCACTACGAAATTTTCAATTGAAAGTAAAGCGAAAATGTTTTAAGTAGCAACTTCGACACTTACAGCAGTACCAACTTTCACGTCAATTTAGAAACAATAGAGTTTATTATTTTCATCCAATTCTAGCTACAAAGAAAGAGAAGTAAAAACTTTTTGGACTAATTTGAGCGGTGCTATTCCTCACCAAGTAGCTCAAGATGCATCGAAGTCAATTTGAAGATCGAATAAAGCTATCTTTTAACAAACTTATGCAAAGTTCCTAAAATCGGATAATTTGATCGAGCTGAATCGAAAAAAAAAGAAATCAATTGTCAATTTTTGCCGCACAATCTGATACAACATTCATTTCCCATTAGAATGAAAAATAGTCGAATCTAGAAGATGTTATTTTGGCTTAATTATGGCTATTTTTTCAAGAGTACCGCAACTTCAGATTGAAAGAGTTAAAATTTTGAAAATCTGGAAGAGAATATATGTTAAGTATGGCACAAGGGCAACATCAAAAATTTTCCAACTATGAATAATCGTCAGAACTTTGAAAGAACTAGAAGATAACTGTTTTGTTTGGTTTTTGTCGTTACTACCGGATGTGAAAATCTCAAGAAGCAACTTTTGAGCTTTCAAAGTTGGTCCTTTTGTAGGTGTCGCAGCTTCTACGTAAAATATTTTCACTTAACTTTGAACCGAAAACCTTGTTGTGCCAATCTTTTAAAGAATTAAATTGCGGATATTTTAGAGAAAAGTTGAAATTCAGAGAATCATAATTGAAAAAGATATCATCGAAATACTGAGAGAGCCATTTATTCTGAACCACCCATTATTACCACTCATTGATTAACTCTAAATTCCAGTATTCAATTATAGAAGTCATCAAGTTTCAATAATTGAAGAATTCCCACATTAAGGATTTCCCGTATTGAGGATTTCAAGCTTAGCGTGTTCAATTACTGTGTCCTCATTGCAGATACAACCTTAAATCTAGTCAGAATGGAACACGCAGACAGGGATGTTTTAAGTGTGAGTATAATAAGGAAGACATATGGGGCTTCCGTAGTGTGGGTGTGACTATAGTTATCATAGTTGAAGCTTGAAAATATCAATAATTTAATACTTGAAGTTTAGTTCAAAACTTGAATTCCAGTTAAAATGATGACACTACTGCTGATGGTTTAGAAAATTATAACGATGACTAGACCTTTTTAAGGTTCAGTATTACATCTTTTCTAGAGAGTTGATACGAGTGAGCGTAAAGATAAATGAAACGTTACACTTTAATTTACAGTCACACCCTGACCCACGCTCATTCTCATATGCACATACACTCACACTCATGTTTCACATCCACGTAGTAGGAATTTTTGCCGAGCCACGTGTTTAGGTTTACTAATAGCTCTAATTCAAGAACGATTTGCTCCGAGACAGAAAAACTATCTCGAATTGAATGAAAAACGCCCTCATACTAAAATCAATAACGTTTAATATGCTTGTTTTGTTAAGAAGGCTGGGATATTTGACATTATTTTATTTAAAATTCAAATACAAAAATTCCAACGTTTCGCATCTCGATAAAATACTTTATCAGGCAGTAACCCAGGATAAAACTAAGCCATCAGATTCTGATGTCAAATCCGACTGAATCCGGCTAAGTTCTGACTGAATGCTAATGATTTTCGGTGGATTCCGATAAACCCGGGTGAAATCTGAATAGAAATTCCGGTCACTGGATTTCTTGACCTGGGAAATGTAAGACACACAATATGTAAATACAAACAAAATTTGTCTTTTCTATAGTATTTCGTATATTTTTATTAGTGTTGTGAAAAGGATTCAATCATTATCTAGCTAATACTATTACCATTTTTTCTTTGTATCAATATCAATAGTATGGCTAATATCAAATAAAGGACAAATTTGTTCATATTTGCATGTTGTTTATCTTAAATTTAGTGTCTGATGAAGTATCCTACCGAGATGCGAAGCGTTACAATTTGCAATTTTGAAATTTACATAAATCATTAATATCACCTGAAATTAAATTGATTCAAACTTGCAGTAAAATAAAATAAAATAAAATAATTTAATAATGTCTAAAATCTCTAAT